TCCGACTCCGACTCCGACTCCTACTCAGTCCTACTCCTACTCCTACTGCTACTGCTACTGCTGCAGCTGCGACGACTGCTACTTACTGCTGCTTCTAGTATTAGTGGCAGTACCGGTACTACTACTACTACTACTACTACTACTACCACTACTGCTACTACTACGACTGCTACTACTGCTAGTACTACACTTACTATTGAAAACTTACTGCTTAACGCTTACTACTTACTACTTACTACTTACCACTTATTCCTTACTGTTTACTACTTACTACTACCTACATACTACTTACTACTTACTACTTACTACTTACTACTTACTACCCACTACCTACTACTTACTATTTACTACTTACTACTCCCAACTTACTACTACCTACCTCCTACTCCTACTACTACTACTTTTACTACTACTTCTACTTCTACTTCTACTTCTACTTCTACTACTACTACTACTACTACTACTACTACTACCACCTACTACTCCTACTACTACCACTACTACTACTACTTCTTTTACTTCTACTTCTACTTCTACTTCTACTTCTACTTCTACTTCTACTTCTACTACTACTACTACTACTGATGATGATGATGATGAATCTGCTACTGCTACTGCTACGATTGTTTTTGCCATTACCAGGACTACTCATGACTACTACTGCCCTGCGACGACGGCGAAGTGGGACAATAATAACATTAAAGGGCTCCGTAGCAATCGCAATGACCCTGAGATTAATCTTTATGTGCCGCATAAAATTTCCAAGACTGGAATCAGCATCGCGCGTAGTTCGAGAGGTGTCGCTTGATCTGAGGGTTTGCAGCTCAGACTATCGCCAGAGCCTTCAGCAGCGGAACTGCAGCGATGCAGAACCAGGCAGCTACCCGGCCTGTTAAATAGGACTGGGCCCATGACCCATGATAGGCCCATAGTCGTCTGTGGATATTTCAAACTAGGAAGCACTGGGAAGGATCAACTCACATCTTCAGCTGAAAGGTTTAGCCGCACGGGTGGGAAAGCAAACGCTGTTTCATCAGGGCAGACCCATCCAGTGTTGTACTGTAGGTTTCTGTGGTTGCCCGGTCGACAATTGAGGTGCGATGCTTACAAACTACATGCGATCCTTGGCAGAACTGCGAAACGGCACACTGGACACCGAGACCTGCGAGGCGATCTTGCTGCCAATATTTGCGTGACATGCGCGGACAGTGGAGTGACAACTGCTGGCTGAGATCTTTCTTCATTAGTTGTGTGCCATGTTGTGACAGTGTGGATTGCTTGAGACGTGTGGTCTGAGAGCAGTTGCAGTCGGCAGATTGAGGCATGCTGCTACACGCTAAGACACCTACAAAAGCATTGAGTGCTAAAGCCTTTAAATCATGTTAAAAATCCTGCCTGGTCTTGCCGTGTCCAATCTGCAAGTGCGCATCAGGCATTTCTCGCGCCCGTTGATTTCGACGGGCTGGCCTACGACATGTGTGCTGACCACGAGGCTTTGTACGGCTCCTTGGCTTCCACGTTTGTTGCGGTTTCAGTCGGGGTGGAAGAAAACAAAGTCCATGTACGGCTTCTGTGGATCCAAACTTGGGATCAACACTTAGTCTGTAGTCAGCAAATATCGCTGTCACTGCTTGCAGACGGACCAGGTTCGGGCTATGCATCCGCTCGCTCTGTTTGTCCCATCACCTGCGGCTGCATCCCGGTGGAAAGAATCGATTTAGGGTTCAGGGTTTGTGCTCCAAGACACTCACAGCCGCTCATTCTAGGTCCTTCCATTACTCGTGGGTTGTTCGAAGCGCAGTAAGAGGACGGGGGTCCTTGAGCGCTGTTGTGTCAGCAAGGTGCTGCGGGCTGCTTGATTATTTCGTGAGGCTAGGTGTGCATGCAGAGCAGCAGCGCGAAGGCCTTGAAGCCTGTGCACACGACACGATGCAGGGTCGAAACTTCGGCATCTGCAATGCAGCCGTGAAGTTTACATATAAATTTGCCACAAGTGTGAAGCCATGAAGGCCCCAAAGCCCGAAGCCAAGAAAGCCTCCCACTCCGTCGGCTGCTTTCAAGGCAATGCTGTGCCCGACCGTCCCGGATGTCCACCGCGCTGTGTGCATCCGTGATTGCACTTCGATGAGACAAGCTCGGGGAAGGTCTGTGCGACTGCCGGCCTGTGAATCAGAAGAACTGAAGTCCTGCGCTCCAAGCAGTTGGACAAGCTGTGTCCCCGTATGAGACTCGAGATGCTCAAGAGGCCACCTGCAGCTGGAACGCCTTCTATGGACGGACGGCGCATGCCGTACAGCTTCTGCAGCAGCAAAGGATGCGCGCAAATGGACAGAAATATCTGGGCATGCATATCCGAACGATGACGCCCACCGACAACAAAGCATACAAGTGCAAACCCCCTCTATCACCAGGGTGCATTCACATATCTACATTTGGGGGAGAAGAACTTTGCTAGATGTATCTCCGAACGGCTTACCAGGTGCCGGGCTTTGCCGATGAACTGGAAGCTGGGATATTCTTGGCTACGACTTCGACAGAAGTCAAGCGCGCATGTCTACAGAAGAGCAAGGTCACGCTGGCCACAGCTAAGGCAGCGCCACCTGAGGCTGTGCATACAGAAACAGGTGGATCGCAATTATACGCCCTAACGGCCATCCTTGAATTCCATCGAAGCCCTGCTTCCGCTCTTCTCATCACTTTTGTTAGCTTGCTCAGCTTTTCTTGTCGACCCACAGTGCTGGGACTGGAAGTTGAAATTGGCGAGCATGACCGGCAAGTCATGAGAATGATGGTATGATGCCGCTGATGGTCAAGATGGTGGCAATGATGATGAGCGTCGTGATGCCCAGTGTGAGGATTGTGACGACTCGTGATTTCAAGACTGGGCTGCCTCGTTTGCCTTCAATTGCTTGGTTTGCTTTTTTTATGCATATATATATATATATACATATGTGGAAAAATCAACCATCTATTCAATCTCGTGGCTTTTCTCACTCCCGCTGCCTTGATATTGCTTGCTCTTGGCATTCTCCTGGCTGCCGGTTTATCGTTGAGCTGCTGTGTTCTGCCATCTGCGTGATTCTACAGACACACCTGTTCACCTGAGCCGGAAGACTGCCCTGCTGATAGATCTTCATGCCAGTTCCTAGGTGCGGCGGTGCCGCAGCAGGCGACGCCGGACTTGGAGCTTGGCCCCGAGTAGGGGAGATTTGGGTGCTTCAAGGTAAGACAGAAGATGAATAGCAATTGTAGTCAAGAACAGTGATCACCGTAATTCGTTTGCTGGTGAGACCTTCGCAATTCGGGGCGGGCAGTATGATCGGGCGAGAGATCTTCGCAGATGAAACTGCGATTCCGGAACCATTAGCAGGACTGTACCTTACTGAACCCTCTCGACTGCTTCAAGCTCCTTGCAGTCAGGGAGGGAGGTCTGAAAGCATGGCCACTATAACACCGCGATGACCACAAGGACGACGACGACGACGCGACTACGACGCCGGCGACAACGACGCCTACTACTAGTACCAGTACTTCTGCCCCTACAACTACTGCTGCTGTTGTTTCTACTATTTCCACTTCTGCCATTACTACCACTACCACCACTACCGCCGCGATCACCACCACCACCCTACCACCACCCTACCACCACCCTACCACCACCCTACCACCACCACCACCACCACCACCTCCACCTCCACCACCACCTCCACCACTACCACCACCACCACCACCACTACCTCTACCTCTACCTCTACCTCTACCTCCACCGCCACCACCACCACCACCACCTCTACCTCTACCTCTACCTCTACCTCTACCTCTACCTCTACCTCTACCTCTACCTCTACCTCTACCTCTACCTCCACCACTACCACCACCACCACCGCCACCACCACCACCACCACCACCACCACCACCACTACTACTACTCTACTACTACTACTCTGCGACAGTTGTAGTAGCTTGCCGGCATTGTAGAAGGCGGCAAATTGCTGCCCATTATTTTGCTGTTTGTTTGTGCTGTTCATTTGTGTTTGTCGTTGAGGTTGCTGTGTTTGCGGTAGTTTTCATGCCGCAGCTTAATGTTCTGCTGCTGGTTCATTTGGGTTGTGGATGCGGCTGGTGCGGCAGTGGTACGCTCAGATCAGAACACGCGGTTCGAGCGTCCTAATTAACGGCCGCGAGATCCTCCGCATGCTTATGCTCGTGTTCTTGTTCTCCTGCCTGGACCTACCTCAGAGGCTCAAATCGGCCCAGTAGTCTATAGAGCCTGACCGGCTTTCAAGCTATCATACAAGAGAAACAGGAGTCGCTTTGTAACACTCCAAGTCCCCCTATGTAGTATTCATTCTGATCACGCGTTGATGTTATTAAATGTGTTAGTTGTGTCTTTTCCAAGCCCCACATTTAGACTGCAAGTCGCTGCGAGGCCAGACTTGCGAGGAGACTTGCGAGCAGCGGCAAGGGTGCACCAGCTCAGCTAGCGATCGGCGGGCTTTAGGGTCAACGGCTTTAAGGGTTTCAGGAATCAGATTCGTGCCAAAAGTAGACTCTAAGTAGACATGATTTACGTCACAAAGCCTTCTAGCCTAGCTCCAGCGGCTCATGGCTGTTTTTGAATACCGGGTGGTGCTGCGCGGCTAGAAGTCGGCTTCGCCCGTTGTGATTCGCGTTGTGTGTGCGAAGACATTGGTACTGTAGAGACATTGTGCGAGTGCAGCTTGTCGGAAGATCGCCAGTGCTCTCTCTAGTGGCTTTGACCGTCGAAAGCAAAAACTGGGTTCTTGTTAAGGAAGTTAGTTAGTTTAAGTTACTATAATAAGGAAGCAAACAATACTATTCACCATGGATCCTTGTTATAGTAACTGAAATACATTTCCTAGCGTCGAAATCGTCGCGAGAGTCCACACTGAGAGAAGCCTTAAAGAAACCCTATATTACGGTCAGTTAACTTCTTGAACAAGAATCCAGAAACTGGGCTGTGGAAGCCTGGCTGAGGCCTGCGATGCCGCGAGACTCTCCGAGGCAAAGAGCGAGGGAGAGGGTGATGCATGAATGTGAACAGGTTTCAGGGTGTAGTATATCGTACCGTAAAGTATAAACAAGTAGAAGTATCAGTATTGGTGCTGGTATTGGTATTAGTACTAGTACAGTACTAGTCTTGGCATTATTATGGGCAGCAGCAGCAGCAGGAGGAGTAGTAGTAGTAGTAGTAGTAAGTAGTAGCAGTAGTAGAAGGAGTTGTAGTTGTAGTAGTAGTAGTAGTAGTAGTAGTAGTAAGTAGTAGTAAGTAGTAGTAGTAGTAGTAGTAAGTAGTAGCAGTAGTAGAAGGAGTTGTTGTTGTTGTAGAAGAAGAAGAAGCAGAAGTAGAAGTAGAAGTAGTGGAATTCTAGAGTGCAGTACCTGTTTTGCTAAGAGAGAGATTGTCGATCACCTTCAGGTGCTGGTCCTCCTGGAACCGGATTCGCAGGAGGCACGGGCGTCCGGCCAGCTTCCGATCGACCTTTTGCTCTCTATGCTACACATGCAATCTGCTATCGTGCCGAACAGAAGGCCTGAAAGCCTTAATTAGTTTGACTTTTATTGTTTTGCCTTTTTTTTGTGGGGTGCCTGCGGGGCGTGGGTTGGGTGGGGTTGCGGGGGCTGCGGGGAGCTCGCGAGGCGGGGGGGGGGCGGCGGGAGGGGGCGGGGCCTCGAGGCCCAAGTCTTTGCGTACAAGTGGGCTTCGAAGCAATATACAGGCGGAAGCAGCAAACTGTATTGACATGACTTCGATTAGATGTGATGCGATCTGTCATACCAGCATTGTATTATTCTGTCTCATATTGATATTAATTGTTAGTTCAATATGCTAAGTATATTGAGGTAAAAAATATTCTTACATCAATCGTAAATGCCAGTTTTGGTTATGTTGTTCAATATTTTGCAAGTCAGTCTGACGTTATATAAAACACTTTCGGATTTCTATATGATTAAATTATATGAACACTACATCAACAACGTGCAGAACTTGTCCAATATGTTAATAGACCACTACTCTTACTTACGGCGATTACTTTACATTAAGAATGTTAATACTTGTTTCTGTTCTGCTGGTGCAAATAGTATATTGTACCATAAAGCCTTACCGAATGTTATATGATATTGTATTCTATTTTGGTCGGTTACAATATGTTATGTTATATGGGTTATATCATATCATGTTATATGATTTTCTATTCTGTCATGTTTTATCGTGATATATTATTGAAATGCATACCCGGTGAGATAACATGCCTTAGTAGATTACAGTTTACTGCATGAACTAACACGACATGAGATTGGGCTATGTTCTGTTATATTAGGAAGCTCAGTTGATATTGTACGTAATACACATATATTTGTCTGTGTGTATATGTATGTATATACGCTATATTCTAACAAGCTGAAAGAACAATGTGTTATAACATAGTGTTACCATGCAGAATAGAACACAACATCATATGCTGTATACAATATGCTGTAAGGTTTCTGGTATAATATACCATTCTGTACCATAGCAAATATTAGCATTCATTCTTAATGTAGAATAACAGCGGTGAGTAGAGCAGTTGTCTCTTTGTTGATGTAGTATTCATATAATCATACAGCAATACGAGTCTGTTTTATATAACGTTAGACTAACTTGTAACATATTTACAGTATCGCCAAAACTGGCATTTACTATTTGATGTAAGAGTTTGTTTTACTTCAATATACATACCATACTGAATGAATAACAATATCAGACAGAGTAATACAATGCTTGTATGACAGATCGCATCAAATCTAATCTAAGTCATGTCAATACGGTTTGTTGCTTCCGCCTGTATATTGCTTCGAAGCCCACTTGTACGCACCCCTCTGCACCCCACCCAACCCACGCCCCGCAGGCCAAAAAAGAAGGCAACAAAAAAGGCCAAAAATAATTCTCCCCTTTTTGCCAGCGATCGGAAGCATCGTGTCGGCCCTGCTGCAGGCTGTAGCCGAAGCCGATGGAAGTGGCCGGACCCTGCTGCATCTTTGTCGACGGCCCAGCACCCGAGGCATAGTTTAAGTTTTTAATATGTCAGAAGGTACTCCTAGCGATGAGTGC